GTTGGCAGCCACATAACGTAGTTGTAAGCGCAATACTCCAAAATTGGCTCTTGTTTTTTTTAGAAAAAATTGACTCTTATTATTACTTCATTCTGTTTATAATAATTATTTTTTCATTTAGATTAAAATTTTAGGGATAATTTATATTTTTACTTGTATTACATTTAAAAAAGCAATAAAATTTAGATTTTTGTGATAGGAATTAAATTATGGATATATAGTTAAAGTTAATAGTATATTTAGGTTGTAAGAAATGGAGAGGAGGGAAAAAAAAACTTCTTTCTTTAGTTATTAAAAGAATTAGAGGTGAAGAGAGAGAAAAAAAATTTTTTACTTTATTTTTTTTAATTAATTAATTTATTTGAATGAGGGGAATGGAATCCTTCCATTCTCCTCCCCTACATTCCCCTCTCTTCCCCTCCCTTCTATTTTCCTCATCCCATAAAAAATAATTATAAAGTTAAAATAAAAAAAAATGTTTGTATCCATTAAAATATGTAGGAAAACACTACAACTAATTTAGAACAAATTTTAGGTAAAAAAATGACTATTATTTTGAGAGAGAAAATATATAATAAAGCCACATGCCAACATATGGGGTTCTCAATTATCACAAACACACAATTGTGCGTGAATCTGGATTAGCAGTTTAGCAATATTTAACTTCGATAAGATTTGCCAGTTTTATTTTGGTATTTGTTATGGTATTTGGAAAAGATAAACTATAATGTGATGGATAGAAGTACCCCTAGTAGTACTCTATTGAGAAATAAATATTCACTTTGATTAAAAAAAGGGATAAAACCCTATTTCGGTCTCTACTTTAACAGAAAGCTCATTTTTAATCCCTCTATTAAAAAAAAAAAACCCTTTTAATCTCTAAAATTTATTATTTGGTCCATTTTTAGTCCCTCCATTATCTTTTTGCATAAATGCCATTTTAAGGTAGGGAGACTAAAAATGGACTTTTTTTTTTTTTAAAAGTAGAAGGGTTTAAAAGGGATTTTTTTAAGTAGAGGGACCAAACAAGGGTTTTTAGTCTTTTTGTTTGAGAATTTCCATCATCTAGCATGCCACGGGTGCAAAGAATAATGGAAGGACTAAAAAGG